ACACACACACACACACACAAACACACAATTTTCCTAAACAGTATACAGTCAGTTAACCTGAGTATAGATGATATCCAGAGTCTGCATACATGGCCTTGCCCTGTGTGTTCCTGTGGTTCCCATATAATGTAGGCCTCTGCCCACTCCTCAGCCTGTAGATCGCTAGAAGAATGTTAGGTATGGGAGAAATAAGGAAAGAGTCCATGCCAGGATCTTGTTCTGCCATCCAAGAGCTGAACTACTTTTTCATCACTTAAATATATAAGGTATAACTGGCAGCTCTTAAACCTTATTCCTCATACATGTTTTCATGTCTGTTTTTCTCTACTAGGTATCAAGCTGCCTGAGACAAAGTCCTTTGTCATATGATTTATAGCCCTCAACAATTATAACAGCACCTGGAACATAGCATTCTCTCAAAAAGAATGTTTATTAAATGAAATGTTTTGGACAAATAGAGTGAAGTCATTATAGCCTGAGATATTGACTCTAAAATTCTATCTAAAATATGTCATCTTCATCATCCTGACTTAAAATCTGTATACTTGAGGATCACTGGGTCATTTCATTCCAATCGGCATTTACATTGTCATAGAACATTGAAAGACACAAAGAACTTTCACATTTATAAACTATAGGAATCCTCAGAGAAACTTCCACTTTGCAGATTAGGTAAAGAATATTCAGAAAGGCTAAAGAATGTCAAAAGTTGCAAAGCAACTGACTTTAAAGGCGTACTCAAAATCATGTCTTCTGACCCAATGTTAATATTCTTTGTCTTCACAGTGCAGTAGTATCCTATTCTGTCAGTAGTATTCTATTCAGGACCTTCCTGGTACACTGCTTGGCATGCACCTCACAGCCAGGAACACATAGAATTATGAAGAATTCATAGTTGCAAGGGACTATTGAGTCAGTCATTATTTATAACATTATTTATATATGTCACTTTAAGACATCACTTTACCTTATTTTGCCCAGTTTAAGGATAAAGAAACTAAGGCACGGAAGTGTCATTAGACTCTACCTCTGCTGAAGTAAAAAGTTTAACAAGCCATAGGCTATGTTTTGACCTCCATATATGTGGGAGAAAAGGATGACTTAACAATGCTGTTGTGAAGAAAATTCACAAGTAGTTTGCTTTCAAAAGTTGAAGTATCTGTTTAAACTTAATACCAGGACCATGTAAATGGGTAAGGCAACCAACCAGTATTATAGTCTTATTAGAGATTGCAAATTCACAAGACATAGCAACAATCTATAAAGTTCAGATACTATATCCTTTATTAATGTATAACATTTGCAAGGACATTATCTGCCTTTTTCATTGAAAGGGAGAAGGGAACACTTTTTTTACCCTTTTATCTTGCTAAATTTAACTTTGAGTGGCTAATTTCAAGGCTATTCTTGGAATTTCATTGGGTTATCAATTAGAGGAAAATATAAACAGGCTCAAGAAGCTCATACATTACAAGATGGAAAGAAAAATGTCATTATCAGCAATGGGATATGAAAGATACAATATTTTGCTTCTGCAGCTTGCACTGGACTTTAGGGACAAGTTATATATATTCCTGGGGGGGGAGGCAAAACTCTAATAATCAAAATTCATTAAGTGTCACTGGGTCATGTAGAATTCATTTGTAAACAATTTACACTAGAAAGTTCAAACAAGGGGAAAAAATCCCCCAGGAAGAAAACTGGGGATGGGGGTCTTTCTCTGCTCTTAGTTGTTCTTCATAGATGAGGGATTCATGTAATAGTCACCTTACTAATCAGGACAGACCATTACAAAATTATTCTGCCATACAGACTATAAACTTTTCCTAAATTGTAAACCCTTTTATAAAAGTACCACATAACCATGTATTAAAAAAAAAAAAAAACTCTTATAAGATAGTTTGGGTTCTTCCTTCTTTGGGACAGGTTTTGAACTAAATCTGCATTTACCAAGTGTGTTTTACAGAATGCTGAAACAACAAAATTGTAATAGGTTGCTACTGTAATAGGTTCCTTAGTGTCAGGTCTCTTCATTGAAGAACTTCTCAAAAACAGCATTTTTCATGTGCAGTGGGAATCTCCTACAGGAAGATAACATAAATAGTTTTCCTAAATATTTCTGACCACCAAACCCTTACATAAGGAGTACTTCACAGTACACCAGAGGTGGGAAGTGCTTAGGTAGATATTTTTATAGTTCCCATAATGGACTGTTTCCCACGTCCTTGCCTACACAGAAACTGAAGCTGGACTTGTACAATGTTCTAAGATTATGGGCGCCATCTAGTGTTTGTGTATTGGCTAAACACATTGCATGGCAATGGGCAAATGGAGATTACCCAGCTACATTGTGGAGATTTATTTATTCCAGGCCTCCCCCTTGTCCCCACCAGAGCTGCAGTACTAAGGTAGTTAAGACATTGAAAGATAAAAGAAAATCATCACTTTAGGCTACATTCCATACATGTATTGTGAGTGATCTTTTCTCTAATTTCCCTTTTATGTATTCTATTTTTCAGGGATTTGTTGTAGAAAGAAATCCAATAATTGAACAGTCTTCTTGAGGTATTCATGGAGGAGAATTTAGGGCATTCAGCAGGCAAGCACAGTAACTAGTGCAGTAGCCTCCTCAGGCATTCTTCCTGCAGAGGGAAAGATAGAAATGCTTGTGTTATTTATTACAATGCTTTGTTATGGAAAAAAATGTGGAATAGAACACGTAGAAGCAATACGCCTAGAAAGATTCTTTCCTGTCTCTCCAAGCAATTTGAGTTTATTCATTTCTCAAGAGTCTAAGGAGATCATCCCAGCTGCATTATTAAGTCCAAAGTCCTTCTTGGTGGACTTAATGTGTTTAACTAAGTGTGTTCCAAGATGCATTTTGGGGAGTATGTGTTGCTGGAGTGGAAATGCTACAGTTATTGATGTGAATGTGCCACAGGAAATTGAATTTTCAAATTAGAATTTAAACCTGCGTCATTGGTTTACAAATAGTAAGAGTGAGTCATAGCTCACATGGGTGTTGCAATGATTTCAGGTTTGCTTTCTCAGGTTACCTTCAGGTTTAGAGCCATGCACTAGGAAAGGATTTATTTGCAAACATTCACTATTCAGTTATTCAAATGAAATGTGAGCACTATATACACTATTCACCACCTTGGGGGCTCTAATAAGGTCTTCCCTATATAGTTATATCAGAGGACAACTCTAAATCCCTTTTGATATTGTGGCTGAATTACATCCTCCTCCCCCAACTCAAAAAAATATTGATGTCCCAAATTCAGTTCTCTGAAATGGTTGTCTTGAGGCCTGCAAACTCCATCCCTTCCATTAATGTGCTGTATCTGCCATGTCCTTCCTCTCCAGCTCTTGCTCCCAATCCCATGGAGGAACCTGGCTTTCATAGTTTGCGGTGCTAAGGGTTTCTGCTTAAGTGATTAGTTGGTTCTCAGTGGTACTAGAACCAGCATCCCTAGGGTACCAGACAGGATCTGAACCCTGTGTAGGGTCCACCTCCACAGGTCTGTGCAACTTTTTCACCTTGTCCCCCAAAATATAGAACCGTAAATCAGAAATCCTACCAAATCTCTCCTTCTTAGTTCCTTCATCTTCTCTCCTTTCACCCTAAAACTTGGACTCACCCAAACTCCAACAAAATCCTCTCCCTGCCCCTCAGGAACTGGTCTCATTCCCAGTTTTAGTCAGCCATGACCAAGACAGCATTTCTTTTCTCCTAACTCTACCTCCTCTGCCTTCTTCCCTAAAATAAAAACAACAAGACTCAGAGACCTACACTAGCTGACATAACTTTGTATATTTCTAAACTCCAATAATTCAACATTTACATTCAGACTAAGGATAATTTCAGTTTCCTCCAAGAAAATGGGTCTATATGTCCTTTCTATACAACTTGGTAATCCAAAATCCTACCTTAAACTTTGCTCAAAGAAAAAAGAAAATAGTATTTTCAAAGGGAATACTAAACATTCTTAACTTAAAATGCATTGACAACATGAGTTGTCACCCTTTATGAGTCTCCACCCTTCCCTGTTCTTCCTAAGATTTCAAAAATGTTGAGGTTCTATGTCAGCTAGGGCACCCTGTTGTTAAACAACATTGAAGTGAAGTATAATCAAGTGAGACTGGTGCTGTTTTTGAAAAGATAAAAACTTCTTTTGTCAACTCTAAGCAGTTAAATTCAGGTTTCTGTTCCAGAAACCATAAGGAGGCTGCCTCTAACTCTGCAAATCAGTGTACTTGACCCGGGTGTCTGCTCTGCTAAACCCACTGTTATCTAGACACACTGGCTCTTCAATCTGTGGCATTTTCAGTCTGTGGCTTTTGCAGAGCCCACTTAGCCATCTCTCTACCTTACTGAATTTGTCTTCTTGCCCAACTCAGAGCCTATAGTTCCTTGACCATGGGACAACCTCAAATAAAAACAAAAATGGGTAATGAAAAGTCTCCAGGGCAGAGATTTCCTCAACCTCAGCTTCAGAGTCCCATATGTAGGCGTCTGACCCTTTGTCTGCCTGCTGTAGAATTCAACAGGTTCTGTGTCTTTTTTTTTTTTTTTTTTTTTTGCTATGGCTGAATACCACAGACTGGGTAACTTGTAATGAACAAAGTTTAATTCAGCTCACACACAGTTCTGAGTCTGGAAAATCCAAGAGTGTGGTACCAGCATATAGTAGGGGCCTTCTTGCTGCCTTGTAACATGGCAGAGGGCAAAACTTGGTGAGACAGCAAACATGAAAGCCCCATTGATTCTTCTTCTCATAAAGCCGCAATCTCAATACCTTCTCTAACCCTAATTACCTCCCAAAGGCCCCATTACTATGTGTACTTAGAGACTGTTTCTAGCGAATGTGATTTAAATGCATTCAAATCACAGCAGCCTGGCTATGTCTCAAGGGTCCTTTATTTCTATTGATTGCCGATTGCATGAAAACTCCTCTTGTCACATACCTTCCAGGCTTTAAAGAGAACAAGCCTTTAAAAATAGCATATTTGATCATGTCCTTTCTCCCCCTTTCTTAAAAAAAAAAAAAAAACAAAAAAAAACCACTTTCAATGACCTTCGGTTCTTAAAGTCTAAACTTTTAACATGGCCTATAAGGATTTGTAGGGTCTGGCCTTGTCTTGCCTGGATGGCCTCGTCTACACTCCTCCAGCCACCATAGCTTTTTCTTAACCTCCTGTCAGGGGTGTTATTCAAAATATGTGACACCTTGGCCAATCTTGGTACCAGTCCAAATAACGAATGTATATCATGCCTACACATAGCTACAGAGTTGTGGGGAGTAGGAAACTTCCAGGCAGTCACCATCATGGGCCACTTGGAAAGGCTCTGGAAGCACTTATTTGCTGGCAAACCATACAAAAGTGTTTCATTGTCATAACAAAAGAAATTTCCATATTGTTGCCTAAAGACTGAGCAGCTACCTTTCCCCTGTGTGCCAAGTTCTCTGTCAAGTGTCCTATGCGTGTACTAAACCTCCTCTAAAATCCTTCTCAATTGAGGTGAATAGGGACCTTCTATTATCTAAAAGGGACCATAGAACTCATGGATTGTTCACATTTCACTTAGGAAACATCCCCTTTGTCTGATGTAGAATCTAACAGAAAAACATAAATTATCATCAAATGGAACATTTTTTGGAAATTTTGCTTTAAACTTATCTCCAGAAAAAAATTCTGCAGGAAAATTTTGAGAGGAACATTTTTACCTTAAAATCCTGTTTGCAGAGTTCAGCAGCATCTGCTATGTGTCCAAATTACCAGGCAGTGAGGACATGACATTTTCAAATGAGCATACAGCCTTATGAAGGGAGACAAACACATAAATATAGTATTTCCAATATAACACGGAAATGCTAACAGGAAGTTGCTGGGCCCACAGCAACTTATTATCCCAGCCTGGAGTATGGGAAGACTTCTGGAGGAGAAGCTGTCCAGCAAAAAAGGCCTGAAGGAAGCAGAAACAGTAGAGAATTAGAGGAAAAAAATGTATCATATTAACTAAATACCTACTTAGTACCAAGCATTGTGCTGGATATTGCACAATGATTTCACTGCATTTTTCCCCAACAACCTTGTTGGCTTGATGGCTCTGGGAAATTAAATAATTTGCTCAAAATCACACCACTTTGTTTTATTCTCTCAAACAGCCAATTTGTTATCAAAATTAGTAATAAATTCCCCAAACCCAAATAGCACCTTATCTGCTTATCACCTTATCAGTTATTGAATGATAGAACTCCAAGAAGCCTTCCCTGAGGGTAAGGGAAACCTCTTAGAAGTTTTGTTCTGAATTTTTCCCTAAAATGTTCATTTTTTGTAAGTTGTCTGTTTCATCTGTGATCCAACCTATTGCCTTCATTATCCAGTTTAAGTATTTTTTTGGTAGAGAGATACCAAAAAACTTAAAAGGGAATGACTAAATGAAGATGAGTGAGTTGTATCCCAGGGGTAGCATTTTTCACTGGAAAAAAAAAGCTTTTTCTATAGCTTATTTCTTTACAGAATAAAAGCAATGCTAGGACTCACTTGTACATCAGTGAACTAGTAAAAAAGAAAACACCCCCTTCCTTAGTTCCTTGACCCACATTATTTTCTGCTTCAGCAGAAACCATCTCTAGGGATTCTTTCTATTGGAAACATTCACTCTCTTATCCTGACCGTCCAAAATATAAGTCAAATCACCCTGAAGACAGCCATCAGAGTCGGGACTCTTCAGCCCTGATCCAGGGCTAACTTGTTACATATGAAATCTAACAACCTAGTATTATTACATGCAACCTAGTACTATTACATGATAGTGAGGATAATCTACTATTTCTGAATAGTACTTCCTCAATTACAGAGCGATTTTACATTTCCATTCTTAAGGCAACTCTGAAATAGGTGGAGAATGCACTATTATTACAATACCAACTTTTCATTAAAAAAAAAAAAAGTCTCAAAGACTGGGGTTGTGGCTTACAATCCCAGTGGTAGAGTGCTTGCGTAGCATGTATGAGGCACTGAGTTTGATGCTCAGTACCACATTAAAAAATGAGTAAATAAAATAAAGCTATTTTAAAAAATAAGTCTCGGGTACATACAAATTGGTAATATTAAACATAGACCTGAGTATTTAGCTACTCTTTTCTTATATTTTTTTTCCAGTTATTTTCATAAACTTTGGCGTAGACCTAGAATTCCAATGAAATGCAATAAATAGCACACAGGGCCTGGGGTTGTTCCCTACAGGTCCACAAGATGGCAGTAAAAGATTTTGCATAGAACTGCATGCACCCGTTTTTGTACAGTCAGTTGTCTTTGAGTCCAAGTATTAAAACTGGGCAGATATTTAAAATACAATCCAGTAAATGAAAGGAAGATTAAAATTCGAAAGTAGCATTTGTTACTTTATTGGTTGCTTTTTTAAAAAAAAATATGTGGGAATCTCATTTTTAAACAAAATACTAGATATCAGCCAGGAGTCCCAAGAGACACAATTGCTTGAGAAAGTTCAAAATAAAACGTGTTGCTTCTTTGGAGCAGGAGATTACCTGTTCTCCTGCTTGAAGGAAGAAGAGAGAGGAGTCAATGAAAGGTGAATAGTTAATCTTGCATATAATTAATTTTTTTCTCATTTCTCTATGTTCCAACTTTCCTGGTGGAACAACAATGTTGTGAAACAAATTACAGAACTATATTTATTGCCTAGATCTCTCAGGTCTGGTGTACAACATAAAGTGCACTAAACTATAGCCATTTTTAATATATTTTTCATTATTCTTCTTCCTATTTTATGCTAGGATTCAGAAGGATGTCAACTATTCTTTTCTTTCTTTGGTCGGACTCAGAGCAGGAATTGTCTTAGTGATGGGGACCACGACCAGTAGACATGTGTGGTCATGAGTCACTTGTCCCTGGAATTAAGAACATTTCTATATCTAACATAAATATAACTGTGTATTCCTTAACACCTCAACTGTGTGTAGCCGACAGGTCTTAAGCCTTGAAAAGATGGTAGCGGACTTTCATCATCAACATATTAAAAAAAATAAAATTGAGTATCAGATATTTCCAATTTTAAAGTTCTTTGGCCCCTCTTCTCCCATGCTGCCTGATTTCTCTCTCTTTCCCCTTGTCTAATATTATCTTCATTTCATAGTCATTTCTTATTGTGAAAGATTACAACTCTCAGTTTTGCTTACCTAAAAGAGACTTTATGTTTGTCTTGGTAGCTCATCATGTTTTTTCTCCTCTGAGAAGAGTTCTGACACAAACTATTAAGGTAACATATCTTTTTTTTTTTTTCCTTCCTGACATCTATTAAAACCTTCTGTTAGGAAATAAGATAGCCACTCTGTTCCTTTATTCATTTATTTGTCCACCCTTCTCTGTCTGTGACAGCCTTGATAGAGCCTTCAAGCCATGCTCTAGTTTGGAGCACACTGATGTCTAAGCCAGTGGTGGTATCCCCAAGCTGCTTGTGGTCTATGAGGAACACGTGAGTCCATCCACACAGGACTGTACCAGAAAGAAAGTGGAGAGGAAAGGCAGTTCCTCAGAGGAGGACAGACTTCACCAGGTGATGTGAAGAGGATCCATGCTCTCCTTAGTAACGGAGAGAACATTCTAGAATCTTCCTGCAAGCCTAATATGAGCTCTCTTTTCATCAGGCCATATAAGAGGAGCACAAAGTCCAATGCAGATGTAGAAGGCAGGGATGCTCAAGATGTAGAAACAGTCTCACCCAGTAAGATGTGAGGTACAGAAGACAAGTCAGGCCTCTGAATCCCAGGCCAAGGAATTCCAACACTGGACTAGGGCAGGAAAGCCAACAGGTTCCAGGGGCAGCCAGCCAGGGACTCGGTACATCCCCAGCAAAGTCCTAACTTTCTTCCTTCTCTGCAAAGTGAACTCAGTCTCTAGAGTTCCTCCAGCTCTAGCATTCTAGGAATGCATGTGTGTGAGAGAACTTTGACAAAAAATAGACACTGACAAATTTTTAAAATTAATTTTATGACTAAATACTATATTAGTTATAACTAAGCATATGTTATGAGTGATCTTAAGATTTCCCTTTGAATAAGGAAAGTTTAAAAAATGTAAACTAAAATTGAAGGTAAACTTCCATTTGGTTATAATTTAATCATTAGAGTAAAATCTAAATGCCTCCATATAACTTTATTTTGTCCAGTCTCACCTCTAAAATTCCTTCTATCTTCTTCATCATCTAACCATATTTAGTCTTACTTCCTTTTCTTAAAACACTCTCTCCACCCACCTTCTGCTCCTAAACAACTGTCTTCCTTTGTCCTTGAGGTCTCAGGTTGTTACACTCTATCACTCATCGTCCTCCCACCCTGCTCATCTACAGGGAAACACTTCCAGTTTGGCTAACCCTCTTAAGACACTTGCATACATGGTACGGCATGTACCTATCAGAACACTTACCATGTTCATCATAAATCCATGTTTGATTTCCCTTAGTAGGTTGTAATACAGGAAAATCTTTTAAATATTGTCCACCTAACATATAGTGGATATTCTAAATATAAATATATTGAATGTGTAAAGCAAGATTATTTAAGTCACTAGATTTTGAATGAAAACCTCTTAAAAGAACACATAGCCAAAATGCATGGTAATTCTATAACTATATTATTCTAGCACTTGGTTTGCTTTTTAATGGTTACCAACTGAAAAGAATGTGTGTATCCTTACAATTTTTGGTGAATATCTTTAAATTTGTGCCGAACATCACATGCAAAAAAAAAAAAAGTAAAAATATGTAGTCGTATCTTTAGCAAACACTAGAGGGCAGTGAAAGCAAACTTAACATCCCTTGGAAGGAAAAGAATTGTAAAAAAAAAAAATTCTGATTTAAATCTGTATGTATAATCTTATGTTTGTGATGGTTATAGGCTCTGTCGCCTGTAGTTTCTATGATTAGGGGTTTAGCAGTTATAATTACCTTTCTAGTGTGGAAGTAAAACCAAGATTATCTATGACAATAACATCGCCGAATATTGCAAGCATTATCTTTTATAAACCTCCTACAACACTACCAGGGAATTTTACCCATTTTCCAATGAAAACATTGAGATTTGGAGGCATTAAGTTAGTAGGTAGCCAAAAAAATCAAAATGCTGGCATGCACCTATAAAGACTTATTAACTATTTACATCTACCAGGCATACAAAATTCTGTACTAAGACCAAGAGTCTGGGAGAATAGAGGTCCCAAAATTGTTTGCACCAGTTTAGAATGGATACATACAGCAGCAGCTCCTTAAAAGAAGATTTTATGGTTTTAGATGACCACAGGTAGTGTTACGGTTTGGATGTGAGTTGTCCCCTAAAAGCTCATGTGTGAGACAGTGCAAGAAGATTTAGAGGAGAAATGATTGGAGTATAAAAGTCTTAATCTACTCATAAAATTAATCCCTTTTAGGGGATTAACTGAGTGGCAACTGAAGTTGTAGGATATGGCTGGAGGAGATGGGAATTGGAGGTGTGGCTTTAGGGTATATAATTCTATCTGGCAAGTGGAGACTCTCTCTCTGCTTCCAGTTGGTCATATGAGTTGCTTCCCTCTGCCACACTCTTCTTCTGTGATGTTCTGCCTCACCTTGAGCCCTGAGGAATGGAGCCACCCTTCTATGGATGTAGATTTCTGAAACTGTGAGCCCCTGAATAAACTTTTTCTCCTCTAAAATTGTCCTGACTAACAATTTTAAAAAGTTTCTGACCATGTAGTTCAGAAACTTTTTGAGCTTTTTGGATTTGGTGGGAGGAATTTTGAGATGCGTAGCAGTGCCGGCTGGAAATGCTTTAAATTGTTGTAATCTGAGCTTAATGGCTGATTCTGATGGGAGGTCAGAAGACTAGAATGCCAATAGGACTATGGATAATGAAGACAGAGCTCAAGTGGGTGTAGAGGAATAGGAAGACACTATCAGTAAATGGACTAGAGGCCATTTGTGTTATATTCTGGCTGAGAAGTTATCTACATTTTGCCCATGTCCTGAGACTTTCTGTGAGGCTGCTTTGAAAAGTAATGGACTTCTTAATCTGGTGGAGGAAATTTCTAGACAACAGAGTATTCAGGCAGGGATATGGATAGTGCTGGCAGCTTTCAGACAAATTTATTGTGATAATCAGGAGCACAAAGCAGAGCAGCAAAATTTGAAAAACTTGGACTTGAAAGATAGAAGTAAAACTAGGGCTAAGGAAGTTGCAGTTGTTAAAGACATTACTGTCACTAAAGAAATCCTGAAGACTTTGCCCAGAGATAATAAGAAAGATGGCTTGAGAGCATCTCAAGAGCTGGCAAGACTACATCCACCTCAGTCTCAAGGGAGTAAAAGTGAAAATTCTCTTAAGAGACCAGTGGGGCATCCTTCTTTCACAAGGGAACCTAGGAAGGTTTTTCAACATGCTTCAGCTATCCAGGCACTCAGATCTGCTGCTGCCAGGGTCCCTGGAAGCTTGGCTACTACTTAAGATGATGGCAGACCTTGGCATCAGCCTCATGATGGTGGTTCTGCAGGAATTCAGGGTGCTGGAATTAGGGGGTTGTGGAGGCTTCCACCAAGGATTCAAAGGAAGGCCTTGGAGGCCAGGCAAAGTGGGGTTGGAGTCCCTATGAGTAGTCTCTGAAAGGGCAAAAGCAGGAGATGTGAGAAAATAAACAAGCCAAAGCTGCAGTGGAGACCCCCGAGATTAAAAAATGCCAGTGACATGGGAGATCATCCTAGGAAAGCTTCAGGAATCAAACGGAGACTGTAACCAACAAGGCCACAGGCGTGGAGCTAGACAAGCCCTTTGAAAAGACCATCACTGTGTCATGTACTCCTGATACCAGACATGGAGCTACAGGACAGGTTTGCCCATGTAAGTGTTGGTCTTGCTTTGGTCCCATCCCTTTTTTTCTATGCCCCTATTTTTGTGAATGGAAATGTTCATTCTGTACCTTTATATATTGGATACTTTTGATTTTTACGGGAACTCATGATACAAGCTTGCCCTGAGTCCCAGAGGATGCTTTGGACTTGAACTTTTGGGCAATCTTGGAACTGATGATACTATGAGGACTCTTGAAGATGACTAAATGTATTTTGCATTTAGTTAGACTTGCATTACATACTAAAAATACAAAACTAATGATTCTAAATATTTGAAGAGAATCCATGTTTGTAAAACTTGAACTCCAGGATTCACAAAAGGTCATGAACTTTTGGGACACAGGAGTGGAGCATTATGGTTTGCATGTGAGTTGTCCCCCAATGCTTACATGTGAGACAATGTAAGAAGGTTTAGAGGGAAAACAATTGGGTAATAAAAACCTTAATTCAGTCATTGTATTAATTCCCGATTGGGAATGAACTGAGTGGTAACTGAAAGCAGGTAGGGTGTGGCTAGAGGAGATGGGTCTCTGGGGACGTTGCCTTGGGGTGTATGTCTTATGTCTAGTGAGTGGAGTCTCTCTGCTTCCTGATCCATCATGTGAGCTGCTTCCTTCCGCCATACTTTTTGGCCATGATGGATCTGGCTGTCTATGGACCGAGACCTCTGAAACTGTGAGCCCTTAAATAAACTTTTCCTCTTTTACAATTGCTCTGACAGAGTCTTTAAGTACCAGCAGCAAAAAGCTGACTGAAACAGGTAGCTATCTGATGAGGCTGCCAAAATGTTTACCTTGAAACTCTTTATGAAAATGGAGTCCCAGAACATGAAGGAAAGACATCCTTCTGAATTTCACACAGGCTAGAACCTCTTAAGGATTACATATGACATTTTATTTGCTGCACTTTTATAGAGGAATCAAGAAGCCACAGACTAGGATGAAGGTTCCTGGACGTGGTGTATTAGACATGAGAAGGAAATTGAGAGGTCTTGAAGAGGGAAAGATGAAGATAAGGGGAGGAAGAGTTAGAACTAGACACAGTTATGCTTAAACTTATTGTTCTAGAGTAAGAATGAATTGGACTTGGATTACATACTAAAAATTCAAATCTAATAATTCTAAATATTTGAAGAGAATTCATGTTTGTAAAACTTGAACTTCAGGATTCACAAAAGGATAGCCCTTTGCTGGTAGAGTCCGAGTAGACATCAGAAGCACCTTTTCCAGGCCCCTGGGAAGTCTGCACAAGCTGGTCACAACCTTGCAACCTAGCTGCAGTAGCTAGGGTAGGTGAGTGTATTAAATGTCCAAATGGCTTCTTCCCATGTTCCCCAACAAGGTCAGCCTGCCACATGAACACTGTGTTCCTCTTTTCTCTTCTTTTCCTCACCTCTTGAATGAGCAACAGGAGCCGGGCAGCAGGATTCCTGGTGCCAGCCCCGAAGTGAACTCTGTGGAAGGAACCCTCCTTGGCCTGTGAAGGTTGTGTGTCTCCACCAAGGGGGTGCACATCCTGTGCAGAGGTGGCTGGCTCTTCACCCTGGTTTGCAGGATAATGACTGTCAAACTTGATCATACTGAGCATTGTGCTTCAGAGGAGGCCCATTCGTCACAGTAATATCTCCATCATAGGAACTGGATGGGTTGGCATGTCCCATGCAATTACCATCTTATCGAACAGACTTTGTGCCT